TTGATTTACTCTTATGGTCTATTTGAACGAAAAAGGGGAAGAGGAGCGAGAAGGGAGTGTTTCTTGTCGATTAGTCAACTGCCTATTGTGCAGAAGAATGTTGACGGAGGAATATGACTGGCAGATCAAAACTGAACTGGAAGAAAAACAGAAAGAAAACTAGACGAAGTTCAGAGTGCCAGTAGTCTATACTAAAAACCAGCGCCAGTCTTCGTTTGCCGACGTTTTCGCCAATGGTAAAAATTAAATAAAAAACTGTTTCTATTTCTTTTTAGATATTATTTTCTTTTTTGTCGAAAATAACAGAGTCGCAATTTTGAATTATCAAAAAACCCAAAGCCTTCGTAGTTTTAATTTTTTACTTCAATATTGTTGTATATAAATCGAAAGAATGTTAACCGCTTTATTTGTTGTAATAGTGATAATGATGATATCAATGATGGTAATAACATTAATGGCAATAACAATAATAATTATAATATTTATAATAATTATAATTACAATAAGAATAATAAGCTGTTTCAGACTTTATTTAAAAAATTAAGACGTTTATATGGACAGAACTTGGAAAATCAAGGTTTAAACAACCTTACAGAGGCATTCCAAAGTTTTATGACTCGTACAAAATATTTCAGCATGCACAATTTAAGGTCTCAGTATAGTTTTCACAGATAAATTTGCTCTCTACACACATTCTTGCTTTGTGCAAAAAAAAAAATAGGAAAAAATTGTTCAATTATTTGTGCGAAATGTTTGTCATGTGTTCTGTCATTGCTTTTAGAAGAACATGGTCGTTCTCTACTATAGAGTTTTTGAAATACAGACGCTTGAATCCAATGTTAACTTCTGAAGATGGACAGTTCACCGGTAGCTGACGTTTCGTCAACTATGTCTTATTTGTTTGATAAAATTTTTTTTCTCTTAAACTAACTTTTTGTAATAGTAGGTGTACCAGATGAAAATAGTTAATCTTATTTTTTTAGACGATTTATCTGTCCCAACAACGTCTTGGTATGACGATGAAGTTTCTATAAATGAACAGTTTTTGTCAGAAGTAAAGCATCCAATAAACACCATTCAGAACAATGGGAAAGTGGTCATTGTGAAAAACATTTCTCCACACGTCACTCGTAAACAACTGATTTCTTTTTTCTCAAAATTTGGAAAGGTATTTTTAAAACCACATTGTCACATTCTCTTCATGATAAATTGTGTTTTTTTTTTCTCCATTTGCTTCAATTTCGAACGTATATTTCTTTAATTTTGACAATGAAAAATTAAAAGATAAAGAACGCTTTTTATTACATTTTTATTTGAGGTTTGAAAATGATTGTTTAATATTTAGGTCGTAAGCTGCCAGGTCGATTCGGACGGAAGATGGCAGTCATTGCACGAATCAAACCCCGTCTGCAATATTATATCTTCCGTAGCTGAAATTGAATTTAAGTGTGTTATACCGTTTGAAAATTTTGTTACGGGAGACGGGAAGCAGTGACACATTTGCGGGTTACTGTGTTGTAAAAAGAGCGACACTCAGCGTAATTTATTGAGCTTTAATTTATAGGCAGGTTGAAGATGCTCAAAAAGCATTATTGGCTTCCGATGAGGAACTCAAATTCTACAACCGGATAATGCTGGTTTCTACAGTAAGTTTTTGTGATCTAGGTAATATTGAACGACTTTTTCAAGCTTTAGTTTTATACCCACGAACATCAAGGACAAATAAATGGTATTCTGTTTTACAGCCAGTCACAAGTTTTGAAGTCGCTTCAAATTCAAGCGATGAGGATATCGAAATCAGTTGGTCTTTTAAAAAATTTTTTACATTTCTCTTTCTTTTTGAAATTTTGTAACACTTTTTGCCCTAGTTGGAGGAATTTATTGAGAAATCTGGTCGTCGAATTTGGTACCTGACTATGTTGTTTATGAGAGCAGAATTATAATTTGTAACTCCTAAACGGATTTTAAAATTAGGGAGTATTTCTTCAGATAAATATAACTTTTTTATGAATAATTTTTTTGTGCCTGGTACAACAGAATGATAATGCTTCGGTAATTGGAATTACAGTGGCAGATAGGTCTGTTCATTATTTTAATGGCGGTTATCGTTTGACTCGTCCCTCATCACGCAGTTTATTAGTATGAGAAAAATTTTTTCTAAACCGTATTTTCCTAATTCAAGATGTTCAGAATTTACACTTTAAAAACAGATAATTGAGGTCTATACGAAGTTTATAAATTTCTATATTATTAATTTCACAGGTATTTATGCAATGAGGATTTTAAGCGTTTGCGTCTTCTATGTAAAATTGATTTGACTTTTTATAGATTTTACTAAATTGTTTTATAAGGAAAGATCCTCTAGACAAGCCCCAAAAATACGTGTCAGTACGAGCAATTTGACGACAACAGTCCTACATATAACGGTTTCTTTTTGCGTCAGAAGATGTAGTTTATGGAAAAAAAATTTGCTTTTACTTAAGCCAATACTGTTTTTATTTAAACAAAATCTGCTTTCACGTTTTAGGTTGATGGACGCTCTGACTTTGATTCTTTTCCAATAAATGTTTTGACTCGTATAATATATTATCTTTCTCCGTTAGACAGAATTCGAGTCGAAAGGGTTAATAAAACTTTTTTAAAAGCAGCTGCTAAGGTAACTGTATATACTGCCTTTTATGAACATATGATCGATTTACTTTGCTTGATATCTCAATTTGTTGTAGGCATGGGCAATTGATGATTCTTTGTCATTTGCAAACCAAGTAGCTTTCAATCAGTTTTTCAATGCTAAAAATCCAATGCGCAATACTCATCTTCAGGTTACTTGAGACATTGCTTTTTACCACAATTTTCTATGGACTACCACTTTACTGTTTATTAGCATCTTTAATACAGTGGTTTATTTGAGCTAATTTATTGCAATAATCAGGGTTTCTTCTGTAAAGAGTTGCGGGTAACAACTTCTTTTACAGGCACTCCTCAAAAGATGTGGGATTTACCTTAGATCACTCGACCTTTCTGGGACAAGACATCTTTTGAATGGGAATGCTTTCACAATAATTTCTTCATTGTGCCCACATTTGCATGAGGTTTGCATTACCAATACATTTACGACTGGAAATTTCTATTGTGCTTACCTTGCAGGTTAATATATCGGGTTTGACTGCAGATTCAAAAACTCTTAGAGCTTTCAGTGAAGCTTTGCCTCAGCTTAGCTCAGTAACTTATGCTAATATGGTTAGTGTTGGAGATAAAGCGATATGGAGTATGTTTATCCAAAATGGAGTAAATATAAGAAAAATTGACCTTAGAGGTTGCAAACTTCTCAAAGGTTATTGCTTGAAGTCGTTCTCTGCTAAACTCGAACATGTAAGTTTTGACTGGCAATTTGATCAAACTTTCAAAAGCATTATTTTTTGCTTCTTTTCTGGTATTTACTAGTTAAAGAGACATGTATCCTAGTTCCTGTTACAACGAGACTACCAATTTTGTTTACTCAACAAATAATGTCCGTCATTACGTTTCCTCAGTCAGGAAGAAACTAGGCAAAAGAAGGTTATAGAATCAAGTTTTGAAGAGTGTTTTATAAATTTTTAGTTAAAA